TGCAGAGAATCCCAGATAGGAGGTGACTGCTGTGCTTCCAGCTTCTTGGCCCTCCAGAGAAACCATACTTCCCATCTGCCCCACAACCTGATCCTCCAAACTCCCACCATTTCTGTGCATCCTCGATATCTAATAGATCAACTGCCTTTCATTTACATTTGTCACAACCAAATGATACACCTGCCCTTCAGCCACTACTGAACTGCAGCTGGGTTAGCCCAACTTCAGGGCCCACGTGTCATTTCAAGCTTGTCTTGAATAATGTACATCATCCTGCAATGTGAGGAAGGCCACCACCTTGGTCTTATACCCACGTGTGTCCTGAGCTACGTTTCTCATAATCAAAAACAAACTCAACATATCACTCCAGCCTGGGCAACAGAGCAAGACACTAGCTCTAAAAAAAAAAAAAAAGAAAGAAAGAAAAACCCAGTAAAGTTGGGGAAAAAGAAAGCACCTGATTTCCAGAGTTTCCACATCATGAGATGCAAATGTCCGGTTTTCAACAACAACAAAAAAAAAATCACAAGGCATACAAAGAAATAGGAGACTAAGACCCACTCAAAGGAAAAGAATAAATAAGCAAAAGCCATACCAGAGGAAAACCAGATGGCTGACTTACTAGACAAATACTTTAAAACAACTGTCTTAAAGATGCTTGAAGAGCTAAAGGAAGATGTGGACAAAGTCAAGAAAATGATGTATGAACAAATGTAAATTCCAATAAAGTGACAGAAAATTTTCTGGGGTTTTTTTTCTTGGTAGCAAAAAATTATGAAGCTGAAGGATACAATAAATTCCCTAGACAGCTTCAAAGGCAGATGTAAGCAAACTTGGCCAGGCACAGTGGCTCATGCCTGTAATCCAGCACTTTGGAAGACTGAGGCAGGAGGATTGCTTGAGCCCAGGAGTTCGAAACCAGCCTGGGCAACATAAAAAACCCTATCTTTTAAAAAAATTGGCCAGGCGCAGTGGCTCACGCCTGTAATCCCAGCACTTTGGGAGGCCCAGGCAGGCAGATCATGAGGTCAAGAGATTGAAACCATCCTGGCTAACACAGTGAAACCCCATCTCTACTAAAAA